GTTTTCTCCACTGGCGTGGGAACATTGAATCTGATATCTATAGGTTGTGTTACAAAATGCCGAACCCACTGTTCAATAGGACTTTCATACCTCGCCTACAGACCATTTCTTCGATTAGTAGAGTTTATAGTTGTTTGTAGAAAAATGTCAAACCTCTGGCAAGGAAGGTTTGTTTAATCTATGGTGTAATCAGTGCGCGTCCTCCGACGGGCAGTCATCGGGTGAATTGTGCGTGTGTGTGCGAGGAAAAAGTATACTGTAACTCTCAAGAACCAGTGCAAGTTTGACTGGCAAACTATAAAAACCCCAGAGTTAATCTGTAAGTTTAGATTGTAAGTGCAAGTGCGTGTAAATATTGTAAATAAGTAGCGTCTAATGTAAGTTTAGTTTGTAAGTATGTAAGTGTTAGTATGTAAGTTTATATTATAAGCACAATAGTGTGTAAATAATGTAAACAATTAACGTAAAACGTAAATAGTAGTTTGTAAGGTTAGTATAAGTTTAGGTTTAATATCTAGGTTAGCGCGTGACGTTAAATAATGACTTTAAATAAATGACTAAATAATGTCATTATATTATAGTGTTGAGGTCTGTGGAGGCCCTACGTGCAAGTTTGTAACGATAACAATCGATAGGTCAACCAGTATGTCCAAGAGCAAACTGTACTGTTTGTACGTATTTTGCGATGGTGCTGCTACTCCAGCCAAGGTAGTTGTTTTTCTGTTCGGCTAATACACCGAACGGGAAAAGATGGGTAAGAAGGCCAAGATAAAGGAATATTCGCTAGGCCGTTCTGCCAAAACCAGTTATCTCAACATTATAGCTGGATGCACAACTGCAGTTCTTTGAAGTGCTGAAGATCGTGACGATCGTTGGCTGCGGTGAACTTCTAGCCACAGAGTTTCTTACGAATGAAATGTCTTTTGTGCTGTTAGTGAGGTTTAATGTAACGTGGGGCAAGAGTCCGCATTCTTTTATAATAATTCTTTTATAGTGAATTTCTACTCATGTAATTGGTATATTGATTCTGTTTTTACACAGAGTTATGCTTAATGTATGAAGAATAAACTATCCAAATAAGAATGGCGTATCTTTAAATTTGATGTCTAAAAGAACATTAAACAAGGAAGTGCAGTTTTAGGACTTTTGACAAATATACAAAACATCTAAACTTTCTTAGAAATAATTTAATGTTGGCGAGGTTCATATGTATTAAATTAACGGAACATCAGTTTTATTGGTAAGTGATTAAACTTGATACGTAGAATATGAAAAGTCATAATAAAGTCTCCTATCGTAAATTATACTCTGATAAAAAATCTCATAATAAACAAAGTAGATACTCTACTCGTTAATTCTCACTCAAATCGCATAGTAATTACTCTCCCTCATATGAAGTTAATTTTCATGCCATCACTCTTTACACGAATCATATTGGATATAGTCTTCAGCTAGAGGGTTTTCGAATTCCATTTCTCAAGCAGGGCATAGCCCTATCGAAGTATTTTCAGTGGCAACTGAATTATAATTCATTCAGTTTTTTATTTTTTTCATCTTTCATTTTCTTTTTATTGGCATTGCAAGTAACGTAGATCAGTTCTATAGTACTTTTACATATGTATTTTTTGCGGCTTAAATTAGCTTAAAAATTAACTTAATTCTAAACTAACAACTCAGGGTAAGGGAGCTCATGAAGCACCTTTCTTATTCTCCAACTCGGTCTGTATATTCGAAAAAAACTTGAATTGGGAATATGTTTTTAATTATTGTACGTGAATCTGGGATTTGAGCTAGGTTGCAATGGGATAGATGGTCGTTTTGGTTGATGTATAAGCTGGATATCTTAGTGATGAATGGAATTATGTATGGGATATTTAATTTTTTGTGCAGCTGTTGATTTGAAAGGAACCATGGGGCATGAGTAATTGTTCTGAGGTACTTATTTTGAACGATTTGGATTTTGTTTAAATTGGTTCTTGAGGCGTTTAACCAACTGTGACACACATAGGTCATAATAGGTTTGATAATATGTTTGTATAGGGCTGTTGCATTGTTTGAAGAGATTTCACTTTTGTAATTAATGAGTGGTTATAGTTGGTGGATCTTTTGTGCTTGATATTCATTCACTTTCCTCTCTTATTTGTGGAGTTCCTCTCTTATTGGCATTTCTGGGCTGCTATTTCTCCATTTCAATGCAGTATTGTGGGGTGACGTTGTCAGTATGGTGGACTTCATTCCTCGCCGCGTTCGTTTTCTATTCAGTCTTTGGGATGGCCATAACGTCCGATGCAGAGTAATGTTGTTTTCCCCAATTCTCTGAAGTTTTACAATTCGGAGAATCGCGCTTGGGGGTGGGTGGGTTACCTGTCGCAGTACAGTTGACGAAATCTCCGATGGGTGATTTATGGTTTGATCACATGAAAGGTATACCTCAGGATCTTCTCCATTTAATGCCAACTCTGCTGTCATTGTATCAGGAGAAATGGGTCCCTGGTCTGTGACCTGTGAAGGAAGGAATCTTCCTCCCCAAATTTGAATTTGTCAATGGGTACATTAACACAGACATCAAAAACTTTCTCAGCATTCTCAGTCATACAATTCTTCATGCACGATTTACCAAAAAGTTCCGCTACCTGGAATTGGGTGATGACCCTTTCTGGATAAATTGCAACATGCGCTACAATTCTCTACAAGTCGGGCACAAAGTCCGCACCAGGACTCTTGCTTCGACATGAATGCGGACACATACATTCTCTTAATTGTAGAATTTAATTACTATACTATTAACAGCGTAAACATAGTTCCAATATCTTGCAAAATTACATCAGATAAGTTCAAATTATATCTGTCTTCCTTGTCGTAGCAGTATTTGCACAGGAACTACTAAAGTCTCCTCACAGACAACCACACATGACACCTTCCAATTTAAATTGCAGAAGTGCCAATTTCACGTGTCAAAAACAGAAATTACGCTACACGGACCCATGAAGTCTTTTTCCCCCTGCTACTCTACAATCGTCTCTCTAAACGAAAATTTAAAGTATTTCCGAAGTATTCCGTTGTAAAGAACTCTAAGAAACTGTATGCGAATGTTATTAGATGAGATATTATTTGGTAGCCATTACTTTATTTTTTTTTAAGTTACCGGCGACTATTATTTGCTATAAATTGATCTAAGAAATTATTAAAGATACGCAAACCAAGAACACCCCCCTGAGCGAATGTAAAAAAAAAGTCTCCAAGAAATGAACGTCTAGATTTTGTTAACGTTTTGTAGGTAAATTGCAACTTCAAAGTATTAAATTTTGGTTACTCCCAATTTTTTGTAAGGTTTTAGTGAACACAAAGGAGAATGAATATTGAAAATTGAAATGATACGCTGAACCTTGCTCTTTGGATTACTAGGATAGAATTGACGTTCACCATCATGGCGGACCGTCACGATTTCTGAGCACAGTATGTCTCCAGTCTACACTAGAGCTCACTGTCTGAAACAGGGTACATTGGCCTAATTCTTTTTGCTGATTTTGCTACCTTTACCTTGACGACTCTTCAAAACATGTGTTGGCTGGAAAGTGACAATCAATTTGTTCCCTAAAAAATAATAGCCAAAGGATTGATCTTTTTCTTGAGTGAGTTGTTTTTAATTCGCAATACGATATTCAGCATAGATCAATGTGTTCTAGTTATTAAAAACATTATTTTTTGTGCAACTTGCAAATACTGTATTATAGTTAAAGTAACTACTTTAAAGTTAAATGACTGGAATATATAAACCCACATTCCCGTATTAGCGACCACATTCCCATATTCCCATAATATCGACAGATAATAATAAAATAATACTTTTGGACAATATACCGCGTGTCCCATCAACTGTGACCCTCCCTCAAACCTTCTAAACATCTAGTACACTTCTAGTACACTAGTACACGATAGCGAATTGCACTTTTAGCTTAACAATGCGGAATCATGGGGTAACTAATATGCTGTAGAAGTGTACTAGATGTTTTGTTCATAATATTTTTAGTTTTCGACAAATTTATTCATCTTTGATTTTTAAATGGAACTACACATTTTTGTCACTAGCAATTGATAGATCAAAAAATGATGAATTCAATGATGTATCATTTGTTAATCTTTTAACAGTAGTTTTACTATAAAATAATACCTTCTGACCAGTGATTTTGAATTAAACCGACATTTCTTTTAGTAGCCCTTGCACATTTCAGTAAGATGGCCTTCGCTTCGCAGCCCCGAGACTGTTACAGGAAGAGGAGAGTGTGAAAGGGGTGGCAATTTCAGCAATCCGTAGTCTTGACTAGAAGGACACAGAAACAAACATCAATATTAACGATCAGAATGAAATATTTTTTTCATTGATTCATCAGATTGAACATTTATTTCGCTGATTGAAATTCCAAAAATCGATCACACACAAAAAATACACACATTAACCTGCAAACAGGAAAATTACCAAAGAAAATCGTAAAGGTTACATACTGGCTATTTGCATTTTCTGACAAAGTAATTCGCGTGATTAAGAGTGAGTTGTTACATTTGGTGTGAAGAAAGATACGTGAGACTTTTTAGTAAGAATACTAGGAAATATTGTACTATGTACTATTTAATTTACGTTATTATCTCGAAATCGTGCACGTACCCCCCAATGGCGAATGCATCTATACAAGCTTGCGGCCTCAGAATGACAAGGTACGAGTAATTTATGACAGTTTTGGTAAAAATTATGTTTCGACATGTTCGAACTCTTTTGCCACATCTACAACATCACAGATCTATTTAAAAAAGTTATCAAGTCAGTATCGTAGAAAACATGAGGCAAAAATTACCCATCACTTTGCGTATCATTATTAGACGCTTCTAGTCGTTCATCAAGCGTAAACCGACCTCGAAGTCGGATAGAAGCTTGTCATCCTGGGGCCGCGAAGTGCCTCCGGTGGACTGTGCCCTGACCGTGGCGTTCCGTACCCCCATTGGCGATGCATCGCCCGCCGCGTGTCGTCGGCGTTGGCAGCGCCACCTCCCCCTCCTTCTCCCTCTCTCTCTCGAACCCCTTCCCCTTCCCCCTCCGCTTCCCCTTCCCGGCGCGTCTGCGCCCAGCGCGCGCGCGCCGCCGGCCCGCGGGGCGCCAGTCTCGCGCGACGCCGGACGCCGCTGCTCCAGAACCACCGGCAGGTGAGGCTGCACGCGTGCGGTGCGTGCATGGACGCATGCATGCATGCATGCATCTAGGCGCAGCACGCGCGCGCTCGTGGCCGTGCGCTCGCGTATGTGTGTGCTCATGATTGTAATCACGTTCATGTACCAAGTCCGAATCAAATATTTTGGTGAGGCGGAGAGAGTGATTGCATTAGGTGCGTTTTACCACTCCTGAACTTCGAATCTGTGCAAGAAAAAGATTTTAAGAGCATGATACTTGTATTGTCATTTTAAATCGTGTATTTACAAACTGATGAAACTGGGAGAAGTGCTTCCTTGGTCGATCACAGGTTCTTCCGAAATGAGCCGGCGATTTTGGTGGACAATCTCCAAACCCTGCAATCGTTTAAACCGTTTTTGAATTCGTAATTTACATTTACAGTGCATACTCACCTCGGACTCCAGTAAGACTGGATACCACTCTGAATGCGATTAAGGTGTCGCCATTTCTACCAGAATTGTTATCAGTGATGTGTACTGCATAAATGAAACTTGGGATTTGACGCCTTTTTCGTCTCTGCTTTTTAGAGCGTTAAATATTTTATTTATCTTGTTGTGGTATTTATATTAATTTTTGTTTCTATGCAGGGAATAAATTTAATTTTGAAAGAGGCCCGACGCATGCATTCTGTCACTGTACCCCTTAAATAGTGCCTGACGGAACTGCGCCCTTCGCCCACGCAGCGACGTCACTTCATCCTGCCTTTCGTGTTGCGCGCGCCGAGGAGAATCTTCGAAAACATCGGGCTCTGAACAAATCGAGACGATTGTTTCCTTCAACTATATTTTTACCACATTCATGACGTGTGAAAAATTTAGTTTCTATTGTGCCCATCAGAAACTATTTTGTCATTTTTTTTTAAATGTGCGTTTCATACCAATAAATCTTTAAATGTTATGAATCCTTCGTATTTTAGCAGATATGGTGACTGTAGGAAACAGCGTTCTCTTGTCCCTACAAGTTTCCATATTTCGATTTCATTCAAGATTGAGTCCGTCTGAGTGTAACTATTGCAGTTATTTAAAGATACTTTTTTGAAACATTAACTTTTTTACTATTATTTGCTACTTTTTGATTGTATTCAAGGTTTTATAAGTGCTTAGTCAAAGTATATTGATGTTGCAATGAAATGCTTCATGATTTGTTTGTGGAGTGCTTATTTCAACGGCTCATCTTGTATTTACGAAAGTTTACCTATTTCATACATTTATTCAATACATACGAGTTTGTTAAATTACATTTAAATCTCAATTAAGTTCTGATGAGGTCTACCTTATCTAGACACGTCAGCAGAAAGTAAATGTTTCTTTTTGTTTAAAAATAGATGAGTAGACTTCGAAACACCAAGACAGTCTACTCCACAATTAATTAACATGGGGAATATTAGCGACCAATATTCATATTTCTGTCTTATATTAATGAAAATGCACTATTCTCAAATAATTGTGGGAATTAAACACTAATTTTAAAGCCTTAGAATTCATGTCAGCGCTGAATGTCTGCTGTGGTATGCACCGTATGGTTAGAGACCCCGATTCTGCGTAGAGAAGATACGAAATTCGCCCATGGGGGACTCATTGAGAGAGTATTAACAGGCGATTCCATTTCATTCCATGCAGTCGCCGAAGAAAGAATTGCATTAATAATAAATAATATTTTCAATTCAATATTTTTAAAATGAAGTACAGGTGTTTTTTTTTCTTTTAGGTTATCCATTGTTATACATATTGTCCTTTAAAATGCTTTGAGAACTTAAAAAAAACTTTTTTTAATCTGGAGAGGTCTACACAAATTTCACCACGGACAAAGGTTTTTTTAATTTTTTTAAAGTAATTTTTTTACACGATCACTATCGAGACATTGACTTCCGCCATTCAAAATAAGAGCTGCCAAACGAAATAAATTTAGGAATGTATTTTGCACATCTCACAATGCCCATACTTACTCCTACCATTCTCACCTAATCCCAAACTCTCATCCAACTCCTAGTTCCGGAGCCAGACAATTTTAGGCCCAGGGCAATGTCCCCCCGAAAAAGTAAAAATGTGGAAGTTGTATTAAGAAACTTTGATTTATTTTATTTCAATTCGGGATATTCACTCAGGGTACTTGTATGAAAATACAAGACCAATATATAATTTTGCAGACATGTGTATTAAAATATCTTGAATGTTAAAGAAGCTGGAAAATTTAAAGGCTTAAAAAGATTTCAATGAGATCATTGTGTTATAAAACTTTCTGGATGGACGGGCACTTTTAATTTCGTAAAGTCGTAATTAACTATCAAGGTAAAAAATTAATTGAAAATTATATGAAGTTTTAGACTACTGTGCCGCAACTTATAAAATGACTATAACAATTTTCTCGATTTTGAGTTATTTAAACAAATTTTTTACTATTTTTTTCTCATCAGTCCCGTCATCGGGCCCCGTGACTTGCGGGGTTCCGAGCGATCGCCCAGTCTGCTCATGCCTAGCGCCGGCACTGCCAACTCCAAAATTGCGCACCACGATACCTACCGAGTTGGACCAGCAGATGTCGTTCCAAAAGCACCAAATTCTGCAGATGGGGGATTCAGATTGGTTGGTCTTAATTTTTTAAATGCTATAAGCATCCATCTGACGTTCTATCTGCAATATCCTTTTTTGGCAGCATATCCTTAAACCGTAAGTAACATTTTCAAAAAATGGTTTCTATCGAGTCTCCAAATTGCTTAAACTTAACGTCACTGTCGGGGGATGCAACAAATTGTTATAGATCTTCGTCGGCGGCGATATGTACTACATTTCTGACATACCGACTAATGGTTTATACATGTCACTGACAGTACTTAATTAGTGAATCGGGCGACCCGTATCTCTACCCTCTTGGGGTTTATGGCTTTATATCGAGGCTAGCGGAAGGAAGAACTTGTAGTGGACTCGGATCTCTTCCAGTGGTATTCACAGGAGGAGGGGGCAGCCGAGTCAACTTGCCGCCATATTTTTTTCATTCAAAACGTATACATGTGTTTACTTCTAATCCACATTGACCCCTATAAGTTATTTCCGTTGCATGAAAAGATGACTTTTGTCAATGTCACTGGGAGGAGATATTTGCGTTTCAAATGAGGGGCTTCTGTGGATCCTCCACTCCAGGCCCCTTGTTTTCTTTGGGCGGCCCTGGTCTTTACTCTCCCTGCAGCTGTATCCCATCTACGGCGATGACGTGTCGTAGATTGATTAGCTGTCGTCTAGTCGTAGGATTGTTTCCTTTCTAACGACACCTCTTTAGATCACCAATAAGGTTTTCAAAAATCTTCATCATGAAGCCTAATGTTACGGGTACTATTGTAAAAACTATTGTTGATGCTCACGTACTCGCTTGGCTAAGGTAGGCCGGGGTGGTACAACTAGTAACGACCCTGGCCTTGGTCATATCATAGATAGTCGATCACTTTCTATTAGTTTGATTCCTTAAAATTATAATAATCATTAAAATTAAGATTATTAATTACAATTCTCCTAATAGAAGACAATACCTCTCAATCTTTAAGAGGTCGGAATGTACCTCATGCCAGAGCCATCCACGTGCCGGCCTCGCGACACTGACGCGGGACGTCCTTGTCCGTTCCTCGTTCCAGGTTCAAAGAGAGTCTGATTCAGAGGGGTTTGGGGTTTTATTAATTGGAGTCACGTGATGTGTGGGCCCGTGCTCAGGTGTTTGAGCTTCTGCTTACGTACACGCAACGCGACTAGAAAGGCAGTGGCGCGTCGCAGCTCGGTCCGTGCGACGACCCGCCTGCAACTCTGCAGAACTGAGTGCGCCTGCGTTGCCGCGTTGCGCAAGCTCAGCGGACTTGGCGGCCCGGACTTGCCCAACACTTCCGCCGTGAACCCATGGCGTGTGGTACTCTCAGTGATGGCAAATTTTACTCAAACATCGATAATTCCATATATTAATACATCGACAAAAACATAATGTTTAAAATATCGTTGGTTAAAATATCGGTGTTTTAATTATGACAAAACGGGTGATATTTTCTCATCCTTCAGGTTTTGTACAGTTTCCCTGATCCATTGAGCAAATGCTGAGATGGCCCCGTGCTTTGCTTCTTGACGTCAATGTAGCTTCATTATGCGCACGATTTGTTGAACTCTCCTTTCGCTTGTAATAACAGGAGGAGTAGTAAGGGCGAGCTACTGATTGGTTAGCAATGCAGAAAAATCATACCTGCATCGGTAAACGAATTGCAAAAAAAGTTTTCTATAACTCGGGAATGAAAATGTTTATTTTTTTCAAATATTGCTAATCTCGTGCTTTTTTAAAATTTCATTATTATTTATTTATTTAACTTTAATGTTTACTCATCTTTCAAATATTTATAGTTAAAATGACGGGAAGGGATTTTGGAACTCAAGAAAACGTGCGCAGATTATCTTCTCCCCCATACGTCACATATAGTTTTTACTGTTTTTTTACTAAATAAATCTAAAATCTAAATTCTAATTTCATTTTAATTATAGTACTTAAATTAGTTTTATTTTATAGTTTTTCACATATAAATATGTTTAAAATCTTTATCGAATAACGGAAATAAAAAAAAAATGGCATCGTGTTTTTCCATTTATTCACTTTCATTCATAAATCATCGAAGTAAAACTTTCTAGATGTAATTCATATATGTAACGCTTTGATCTAATTTTTAATCAACATTGCAATTTTAATCAATTATCAAAATTGATATTTTTTATTCAATTGTAGATATTTTAAAACCATCATTTTTTGCCATCTCTCGGTGATCTTAGGGATCGTCCATAAATTACGGAACGCTAAGGAGGGGGAAGGGTTCACGCTGCGTTACATAGGGGTTGGGGATGTGGGTTTTGTGTTACGTAACGCTGATTTTTTTCTAAACATTTTCAGTAATAATTCCTTCTATTTAGTCTTATACTAAGCATTAAAATGTCAACAAATTAAATTTTAAAAATATAAT